TTAGCAATGAACTGTTAGTGTTCAGAGAAGTGCTCTAATCTGTTGACATTAAGTCTTCTAGTAGTCATCTTACTTTGGGGCCGTAGCTTTTGTTAATGTTTAGCTTGGAAAGGATAAGTCTATGATCAATCTAGCACTCTGCACCACACACTGCCTTCATCACTCTCACATCATGTTCATCTCTTCTCCTTACAATGATACAGTCTATTAAATGCCAATGTTGGCTGTGAGGGTGCATCCATGAATTTAGGTAAAAAGAAGACAATGTTGGTGATGAGGTCATGAGACACACAAGTCTTCAGTAGTAAGTGACCACTACTGTTGCTGTTTCTGACTCCCTTCCAAAGACTCCCTGCCATATTTGATAATCCGTGCATACTCTGGCTTGTCCTCTTTCAGCACATTCATGATGAGGGTCTCTAGACCTTCATAAAATTTTCTTTGACCTCATCAGAGTTTGTTATGGTGGGAGCACGCGTACTGATGATGGTAGTGTAGCACTTTCCTATAAGTGGCAATTACATTGTCATAAGCCTGTCATTCACTCCATTTGGGAGGCACACAAAACTGCTGACTTGATTAGTTTTGATTGCAAAACCTATTCCAGCTTCGTGGCACTCACCATCACTGGCCACTCCAGATAAAATGTGTATCCAGCTCTGATTTTGGTCAGCTTGCCTTTGTTTGCCAGTCTTGTTTCACTCAGGGCTGCTATTGGATGTGATACCTAGTGAGTTCTGCTGAAACAAGCTGTTCATCTTTTAGTTCTACTTGATTTCATGTTGTCTATAAGCATGTGCACATTCCATGTACTGATGGTAAGTAGAATCATCTTTGCAAAAGTTTTGTACATTTTTTTGTGTTTTGACCACAGAGTGAGAGTCCCCCATCTACTGAGGGAAGCATGCCAGGGCTGGGTGAAGTAGACAATTTTAAAAAGCATCGTTTCCTCATGCCAGGAGATGAGCAGTGCAATCCTTAAAAAGTGCTGGTCAGACACTCAGGGGGCTGCCAAATCCCACTGCTGCTTCAGTTCAGCGAGATGATCCTATGGCTTGAGCCACCTGCGCCCAGGGTTGTGACTATAGCTCTCACTGTATCCATACCTGTTGCTTCATCACTTGCCTGTCACTAGAGGACTTTGAGATAAGTGATTATCATAAAATAGTATGAGTGATATCTTTTGACTTTTGCATAAATTGAATTTAAGTGAGGCGGCTGCATGAAGGCATCAGCCTCACTCTCTTCCAGAGTCATCAAAGTCCAGTGGCAAGAAAAAATTCAAGATAATGGGCAATGGACCAGGATGCAGTGAATGACCGTGGTGTCTTCAAAGTCTAACTAAGCTTTAAGTGCTCCACAGCACCCGTTTACACCACATTCATGGCTATTGGAACAAATTGTTCTCATCTGTCTATTCTGCCAAGGGAAGTCTTCACATGCTTGGAGTAGACACCCCCTTAACTTACTGACAGGTTTGAGACCCCTTGGTTACCTTCAACCTGATTTAGCCTGTCTGCCAAAATGGTTTACCAGGGTGTGGCTGCTGCACATGCTATAGCTTCTTGGAGCCACAGGTGAAAATTTGGTGGATACCAAAGGTGGAAAGCGGCCCTAAAAAGAGCATAACAGCCCTCACATCAGGGGTACTAATCTTCCCTTAACACCCCTAAGCTACCCTCTAAGGTAACACTATATAGCCTTTTCATACTCTTCTTCCAAAATTAAACCAATCAGTTGTTCCATGTTTGGTTCTAACTGTTGCATCTTGACCTGCAGACAGGTTTCTCAGGAGACAAGTAAGATGATCTGGTACTCTTATCTCTTTCAAGACTTGCTACATTTTGTTGAGATCCAGACAGTAACAGGTTTTATTTAGTGTAGTCAATGAAGCAGATGTTTTTTCTAAAACTCCCTCGTTTTCTCCACAATCCAGCAAATGTTGGCAGTTTGGTCTCTAGGTCCTCTGTCTCCTTGAAAATCAGCCTGCTTTTCTGGGTAATTCTCAGTTCACATTTTGCTGAAGCCTAGCTTGCAGAATCTTAAGTGTATAACCTTCCTAGTGTGTGAAATGTTTGTGCAATTGTTTGATAGTTTGAACATTCTTTGGCATTGCCCTTCTCTATGACTGGGACGTAAACTGACCTTTTGCAATCCAGTGGCCACTGTCAAATTTTCTAAATTTGCTAGCGTACTGAGTGCAACACTTTAACAGCATCATCTTTTAGGATTTTAAATAGCTCAGCAGGAATTTCATCACGTCCACTAGCTTTGTTGTTAGCAATGCTTTGTAAGGTTCACTTGACTTCATTCTCTAGGATATCTGGCTCTAGATCAATAACCACATCATCATGGTTATCAGGATGTTAAGATTTTTCTTGTATAGTTCTTTAGTGTATTCTCGACCCCTCTTCTACTTCTGTGAAGTCCCAACCATTTTTGTCTTTTATCATGCCCATTTTTGCATGAAATGTTCCCTTGACATCTTTGTCTCAAAGAGATCTCGTCTTTCTGTTTTTTTCTATTTCTCTGCATTGCTCATTTAAGAAAACCTTATCTCTCCTTGCTATTCTATGCAATTATGCATTTAGGTGGGTATATCTTTCCCTTTCTCCTTTCCCTTTTGCTTTATTTCCTCAGCTATTTGTAAAGCCTTGTCAGACAGTTATTTTGCTTTCTTGCTCTTCTTTTTCTTTGGAATGTTTTTTATTGTCGCCTCTGTACAATATTATAAACCTTTGTCCATAGTTCTTCCAATACTGTATCTACCAGATTTAATCCTTTAAATCTGTTCATCATTTCTACTTCATATTCATAATTATTTAGGTCATACTTATATGATCTGATGGTTTCTCCTACTTTCCTCAATTTAAGTTTGAATTTTGCAATAAGAAGCTCATGATCTGAGCCACAGTCAACTTCAGGTCTTGTTTAAACTTATTGTATAGAGCTTCTCCACCTTTGGCTGAAATGTATATAATCAGTCTGATTTTCATATTGACCATCTGGTGATGTCCATGTGTAAAGTTGCCTTTTGGGTTGTTGAAAAAGAGTGTTCGCTATGATCAGAGAGTTATCTTGACAAAACTCTGTTAGTCTCTGCTCTGCTTCATTTTGTTCTTCAAGGCCAAACTTGCCTATTATTCTAGTTATTTTTCTACATTTCCTACTTAGCATTCCAATCCCTTATGATGAATGTGACATCTTCTTTTGGTATTATTTCTAGAAGATATTGCAGATCTTAATGGAACTGATCAAGTTTGGCCTCTCTGGCAATCAATAGTTGGAACACAGAATTGTATTACTGTGATATTGAATGGTTTGCTTAGATTTGAACAGGTATCACTCTGTCATTTTTGAGATTATACCCCAATACTGCTTTTCTCACCCTTTTATTGATTCTGAGGGCTACTCCATTTCTTCTAAGGGACTCTTGCCCATGGTAGTATATATAGTGGTCACCTGAATTAAATTCACTCATTCTCATCTACTTAAGTTCACTGATACCCAGGATGTTGACATTTAATCTTTCTATGTCCTGTTTGACCAGATTCAGCTTACCTTGGTTCATAATCTTACATTCCAGGTTCAATTTTCTTACCTGCCCTTGACTTCTACAGATATTTCAGGTTCCAAGCCTATTTTGCTATTAGTACTCTATTCTTACATAGTGGCCCTCAATTATGTTGGTGTTCCATGCCTTCTCACCTAATCTTTAGCCAGACTCCCATGAGTTCTGAATAAGTAGAAAGCATCAAAGGATGAAGCAGGAAGTAAGCAAAGTATAGTGGAATTTAGGAAAATAGATTATTGGTTCTATTGTCAATTTTTTCCAGCAATATGAATTTTATTTCTAATAACTAAAAATATTTAGAAAATCAAACATAGGGATGTGTCTACTATATATAAAACATTATCCAGGGCAAAGGTTAGCTAAGAAGCTTGTATGGATGACCTTGTGTTTTATGATCAAAGTAGTTAGCTTGGTATATTAGTGTACCTCCTAAGCTAATAGTACATCAAGGAGGAAGACTGTTGAACCATGCAGGGCAAGGGAACAGGTAAGGTCATTTGTGTCTTCTAATTGCTAGCATTTCCACTCACACAAAGAAGCCACCTGCAGCCAATTTAAATAGGACAGACATATAGTCTTTTACAGTATATATGAGATCTTACACATGCACTACATACATAGTGTATATTTGAACCTGCTATTCTTCAACATTTACAGTCTAGGAATGAGAAAAAGATAAACCTAAGTAAGATTTCAGGGCCCAGAGGAAAAGTGAGGCTGTGGCTGTCTTGGTGACTACTGCCAGCCTAAGTTTCCTTATCCACAGATCAGGTCACATCACTTCTATGCTCAACAACCCTCACCAGCTCTTTATTGCCCACAAAGTAAAAATCAAACTTCTTTGGCTAGCATTCAAGGCATTCACAATCTGGTGACCTGCTATCTTTCCAGCTTTATCTCATACAACTCATTGCCATGTACTCAATACTCCTAGCAAACTAGACTTATCTCTGCCCATTCCCCCTTCTCTCCCCTACAACTACCTTTACTCTTATTACTTTCTATGCCTGGGATGAGATCCCTTACTCTCTTTGCCTGTTGAATTCCTGCCATCCTTTAATGCTACAATTAAATTCCAGCCCTCTCATGAGGCCTTGCTTGATTCCCCAAGCTGATAATGGCTTTTTTTTCCTTTAGGCCTTACATAGCATGCTGCTTTATACCTCTCTAGGGTGTTGGCCATATATTTTGTGTCACAGTGACCTGTCTGTGTTCTCCACCCAGACTGTAGGTATCACAAGAATAGAGACTATGGGCCATCTACATTTCATGACTGAATCAAAAGTTTTTTTGGTCCAGAATTTTTTCTCATTCATTTTTCCCATGTTACATGAAGCAGTGATTGAATGCTGGTTATCCACAGCACCAAGTCAATGCAGAGCTCTCTACAGCCTCTCCACCCCCACCAGCCCTAGGCAGGCCTCACCGGCTCAAGGCAGGCTTCCTTGATGGGATGTTATAAGCTCTCAGGATTCTGACCAGAAGGTGAATGTCCCCATCACCAATCGTTTGTGCTGCTACTTTCTTCCTTTCCCTTCTCTGAGGTTTTAAATTTCTTCGTCGTTCTACAAGTTGGCAAATGGCGTGTTTCAGCTGGCTAAGGAATTTACAACAATTAGCCATGTGTGCAACATCTGCCACATTTTAAAAACTAAATTTATTTTTACTTTGTCATTCACTATAAATGGAAGTCTTATTTTGAGCCCAATTCTCCCTGCTATGGATCATTATAGATCCATATATAGATCATTATAGATCATTTTCAACCCAATGATGACATCTCTTAGTGGATAAGTCTAAATGATGCAACAATGTTTCCTCCCAATATATTAAAGGAACACCTTTACATGAAGCTACTCCATGTTTCTTTGGACATGTTTCCTTTGATACAAAGTGAAGAAGAAAGGGCAGGGTGATTTAAGGAAAACATTATGTTTCTTTTATATGTGACAAGAATTAGCCTAGTTAGAAAGCTGGATTTTAATTGGAGCCTAAATCCCTACTCTGTTACTTACTCGTGTGATCCTGGGTAAGTCACAAACCTCTTTGGGTTCAGTAAAATGCAGGATGAAGGCATAGAATAAATTCCCTTCCATCTTTAAATTACGACTTGATGGGCTATGAAGTTATCTATGTAGCTCTTAAAGTATAAATTGTTAACCATTTGTGCTGCTATAGAAAATTAGAAATAATAATAAACTTCAATATCCTAACTAAATCATCTCCATGTTAGCAAAACAGATTGAAAATACTACCCCAAAAGGTATGCAGACAACTTTAAGGAACTGTCTTCTCTGTCTGATGACTTGTCAGACCAGAGAGGGTTCCCAGGACCCTTGACAACCAAATTCCTGTTCTTAGCCCCTAGTCATACTTCTAAACTGTTACTGTCAGGACAAGTGGAAAACATGGTTAATTACAGCCAAAGGGCCCTACTGTGGATATGACCATCCTTGTTAACTCTAATGATATTTAGATTTGATGTGGGAAATTCACAAGGTGCATACAAACTTATCCAATGGCATTTATACAACAGTAGCTTTTAAAATAGCACTCCAAAGTCAGGATTATTTTAAGCCCCAAATATTTCTCCCTATTTTAAAAAAAATCTGTCAAATAGATTGGCAATAATAATAAGAAAGATATGTTATGGCCTAAAAAATACAGCTGAGTTGAAAACAGGCATTATATGGACATGTCCATGAAATAAAGTGGCTATATGTTAAATTGTAAAATGTATTCTTTAATCACCAGTACCTGAGTAATCATTCACATTCTCAAATTGTACATTTTGAATTTTGATTCAAAATATATTTATAAAGTTGAGGTTTATTTAGGGGTATCTAAAAAGTGGCTCCCATATTTGGATTATTTTTAGTACATACCTTGCAGATACAATTTCTTCATAATCAGTTACAACATCTGATAAATTAAATTTGTTAACTTTGACAATTTTTTTCATTACCAATTTTCTGATCTGAAAAAAAGACATTTCTATTTTAGATTTTATTGAAATAGATATAAGACATATTTTTTCTTTTAATTTTATATGGATAATGGGTGAGGAAGGGGAAGAGGTCTTTGAAAATCAGGTAACTAGCTATTATTGTTGTTGTTATTGGCAACTCTCAACGACTATACAGTACAGAGAAAGTACTGATCTGCATTAGTAGGAGGAGTTTTTTCTTTTTCTCTTTTTTTTGGTTAGGCAATTGGGGTTAAGTGACTTGCCCAGGGTCACACAGCTAGTAAGTGTTATGTGTCTGAGGCTGTATTTGAACACAGGTCTTCCTGAATCCAGGGCTGGTGCTCTATCCACTGTGCCACCTAGCTGCCTGTAGGAGTTTTTTCAACTGAGAGTTCTATAAACTAATGAAGTCACAGGTCCTGGCCCTATCTATCCTTATTATGAAAATCAGTTCCTAGATTCTCTCAAAATAATTAGCAGAACAATATTCCCTCCACCCCCACCCCATCATCTACTCTTTTACTGATTCACTTGGGAATCAATTTCAAAGTATCTTTCCTTACATTACACTTCTCTAATTTTTTTTTAGTATAAAAAAGTGTGATTTAAATCATGCAGAATTATTCATAGAGCATGAAAAATTAAAGAAAACCCTAGAATATGATAAAAAGCAAGGGAAATCAGGCTTCACCCTACACTTGCCTAACTCGTAAAATTAGGCATACTCCTTCCTGAGAAAAGATAGCTCTTTAATACAGAAACCTCTAGCTCTTCCTATAGAAAAAGCCAGAACTAGACAAGGATTCTGACATGCAAATTAACCATGGCATAGAACTTTAATGAATTAATCAAGTCTTTAAAGTACTAAATAAATAACTGGATGGATTTATTTATGATACAGTAGAAAGATACTAGCTAGGAATTAGGAAACTTGAGTTCTGGTCACCACTATTCTACTACCTACTTATTTTTTGACCTTGGGCAGATCAGTGAACCTCTGTGAGTTTTGTTTTCTTCTTCCAAAGCTAATCAAAGTTCCTTAAAATGAGGGGAAGAAGTTTGGATGATGTCTAAGGTCCTATCTATCTTTACAAGTAAATGTCCTTGGGAAAAGTGCAACATTATTCAGTCAGTGGACTAATCTTCTCTAAGGCACTAGTCATGGGAAGTATCTGTATAGTTAAACTCTTAAGTCACTATTTATACCAGACTTCTGAGGAATCTTTGTTATTGTTTTATTTTTCCCAATTACATATAAAAACAATTTTTAACATTTTTTTTTAACATCTTAAGTTCCAAATTCTCTCCTTTTCTCCCTTTTTCCCTCCCTGAGACTTTAAGCAATTTGATATAGGTTATACATGTGCAGCCATGTGAAACATATTTCCATATTAGTCATGTTGTAAAAGAAAACAGAGGCTAAAAGAACACACACAAAATAAAGTGAAAAATAGTATGCTTTGATTGGCATTTAGACTCCCTCAGTTCTTTCTCTGGAAGTGAACAGCATTTTTCATCATGAGTACCTTGGAATTGTCTTGGATCACTGTATTGCTGAGAAAAGCTAAGTCATTCACATATGATCATGGTACAATATTGCAGTTACTGTGTACAATGTTCTGGGTTTGCTCACTTCACTCTGTATCAGTTCATGTAAGTCTTTCAAGGATTTTCTGAAATCATCCTGTTCATCATTTCTTATAGCAAAATAGTATTCCATCACAATCATATATCACAACTTGTTCAGCCACCACCCAATTGATAGACATCCCCTGAGGTCTCTTTATGGCGCAGCACTATCACTTCCAAAGTCATGAGAAGAGTACTTAGTTTGTCTATAGATATGGATTCAAATAGAGATAGATTTATCTATCTCTATCTGGATCTCTATCTATCTGTCTTTATGACATAGAACTATCAGTTCTAAAATCACGAGAAAAAATGGTCAATCAACAAAGATTTACTAAGTGCTTACTACATGCCAAGCACTGTGCTAAATTCTGGGGAATACAAAGAAAGACAAAGATGTGGTCTGTGACATCAAACAGGTCATATTATAATGGGGAAGCCAACATGCAAATATATATATGTGTATGTCCATATACATATATATATGTATATATATATGTATATGGACATACACATACATACACATACATATATAGATAGTATGTTGTGTATATATATATATATACATACATATATAGTATATCTCTAGTTTACAGATATATAGATAGATACAGATAGATCTATGTCTATATTTATCAAGATCTATTTCTGTCTCACATTATATATTCATATCTATATCTGTCTATACATACATACATACACACACATATCTATACATATACATATACATACACACACACACATAAAGACAAAGCGAGAGAGACAGAGATTGACAGAGAAGGTGGACGGAAGGAATCTCAAAAGGAAGGCACAAAAGTTGGGGAGTGGGAATAAGATCATGTAAGGAAGCCTGCAGAAGGTAGGATTTTAACTGTCTTGAAGGAAGCCAGGAAAGCAAGGAGACTGAGGTATAAGGAAGAGCATTCTAGGCCTGGGAGATAACCTGCAAAAAGGCACAGAGTTGGTAGGAGCCAAGATGCTGGAGTTGAGGCAACAACCCAGGTGAATTCTCCTAACATTCCCCTCTAAACAACCTCAATCGAATTTCAAAGTGGCAAAGCCAACAAAAAGTCAGGGTGATACATTTTTCCAGCCTAAAACAACTCAGGAGGTCAGCAAGAAAGGTCTAACACTGGGGTTAGAGGTGGCTGGGAACATACATGGTGGCAGCAGCACCAAGAGCAGGCCTTAAGAACTCTTTTAAAAAGTAAAATAGTCCAAAAATGGGGGGGGGAGCACAAAAATTACTGAAGAAAAGAATTCCTTAGAAAGAAGAATTGGCCAAATGGAAAAGGAGGTACAAAAGTTCACTGAAGAAAATAATTCCTTAAAAATCAGAATTGGGCAAATAAAGTTAATGGCTCCATGAGACAATAAGAATAATAAAACAAATCAAAGGAATGAAAAATAGAATAAGATGTTAAATAGCTCACTGGAAAAATAAATGAATTGTAAAATAGATCAAATAGAGGTAATTTGAGAATTATTGGACTAACTGAAAGACATGATCAAAAAAGAGCCTAAACATCACATTTCAAGAAATTATAAAGGAAAACTGCCTCTATATCTTAGATCCACAGGGTAAAATAGAAATTGAAAGAAACCACTGATTACCTCCTGAAAGAGATACCAAAATGAAAACTACCAGGAGTATTATAAATAAATTCCGGTCAAGGAGTCAATCTCTGGGTTAAGGAGAAAATATTGTGAGCAGCCAGAAATAAGCAATTCAGATATCATGGAGCCACAGTCAGGATTATGCAAGATTTAGCAACTTCCACGTTAAAGGATTGGAGGGCTTGGAATATGATATTTCAGAGGGCAAAGGAGCTAGGATTACAACCAGGAATAACCTACACAGCAAAACTGAATATAATCTTTCAGGGAAAAATGAATATTTAATGAAATGGAGGACTTCCAAGTATTCCTGATGAAAAGACCCAGACTGGAATAGAAAATCTGACATTCAAACACAAGACTTGAAAGAAGCATAAAAAGGTAAATGTGAAAGAGAAATCAAAAGAGACTCAGTAAAGTTAAACTTTACATTCCTATATGGGAAGGTGATACTTTATCATTATTAGGGCAGTTAGGAGTCTATGGAGACAGAGGACATGGGTGTAAGTCAATTATGTTGGGATGATCTAAAAAAATGAAGAGGTGAGAAAGAGCGATGCACTTGGAGAAGGGGGAAGGGAGAAGTAGAATGGAAAAAATTATCCCACATAAAAGAGGTACCCAAGGAAGAACTTTTACAGGGAAGGAGGAAATGGAGAGGGGGAAGTGGCAGGTAATGCCTGAACCTCACTCTTATTGGAATTGGTTCAAAGGAAAAATACATATATGCACACTCACTTGGGTATATAAATCTATCTTACCCAACAGGGAAATGGGAGGGGAAGAGGATAAGAGAAGGTGGTGGTGGGGGAGATGATAAAAAGGAGGGCAGAGTAAAGAAGGCAGTGAACAGAAGCAAGAATTTTGAGGAGGAACAGGATAAAAGAAGAGAGAGAAGGATAAACAGAAGAAAATAAGACAGAGGGAAATTTAGTTAGTAATCATAACTATGAATATGAATGGGATAAGCTCACCCATAAAATGGAAGCAGACTGTAGAATGGAATAGAAACTAGAATCCAACAATATTTTGTTTATAAGAAACACACTTGAAACAGAAAGACACACACACACAGAGTTAAAATACGAGGCTGGAGCAGAATCTATTAGGTTGCAGCTGAAGTAAAAAAAAGGCATGTGTAGCAATCATAATCTCAGACAAACTAAAAGCAAAACCAGATCTAATTAAAAGATAAAAGAGATAAGCAGGGAAACTGCATTTTGTTAAATGGTGCCACAGACAACAAGTAATATAAAAAATTTTTACAGCAAGTTTCTTGATAAAGGCCTCATTTCCCAACTACATAGGGAGCTGAATCAAATTTATAAAAATAAGAGCCATTCCCCAACTGATAAATGGTCAAAGGTTATGAACAGGCAGTTTTGAGAAGAAGAAATCAAAGCTGTCTATGGTCGTATGAAAAAATACTCTAAATCACTACTGACTTGGAGAAATGCAAATTAAAACAATTCTTGAAGTACCACCTCACACCTATCAGAAATGACAAATGCTGGAGGGAATGTAAGAAAATAGGGATACTAATGAACTGTTGGTAGAATTGTGAACTGGTCCAATCATTGTGGAGAACAACTTAAAAGTATGCCTACAGGGCTACAGAACTGTGTATATCCTTTGACCCAGAAATATCACTACTAGGTCCATACCCCAAAGAGATCAAGGAAAAAGGAAAAGGACCTATTTGTAGTGGCTCTTTTTGTGGTGGCAAAGAATTAGAAATTGAGAGGATGCCCATCAATTGGGGAATGGCTGAACACATTGTTGCAGAAGACTGTGATGAAATACTATTGTGTTAAAAGAAATGACAAGTGCTATAATTTCAGAAAAACATTGGAAGACCTATATGAACTGATATAGAGTAAAGTGAAAAGAACCAAAAGATTGTTGTACGCAACAGCAGCAATAATGGTGATCAACTATGAAAGACTCAGCTACTCTGATCAGTACAATGATCCAAGTAATACAAAGAAAAAAAGTAAAATAAAAAATTAAATAGTTCTTGCCTTCAAGGAACTTGTATTCTGTTGGGAGGAGACACCGTGTATAATAAGGTGGACAATAAAAACATATGGAAAATTTGGAAATGGGGATTTAACCTGGGATTTCATTGATGTAGGGAATTTCTAATAATGATTTTTTTTTTTTGGTGAGGCAATCTGAGTTAAAGTAGCTTGCCTAGGGTCACACAGCTAGTGAGTATCATGTGTCTGAGGCAGGATTTGAACTCAGGTCTTCCTAACTCCAGAGCTGGTGCTCTAGCCACCGTGCCACCTAGCTGCCCTGAAGATATTCTCTCCACTAATGCAAATTGGTACCTTCTCTGCAATTTACAATTTTAGAGAGTTGGTTGTAGGGGTGGAGAGGGAAGGTTAAATGATTTGTTCTCTGTCTACCATGCCAAACTGTTTCTTATATACAAAATATAGACAAAGTAAATACAAGGTAACTGATGGATGGGAAAAAGCACTAGCAGTGCCACAGAAAGTCTCTTATAAGAGGTAATACTTGAGTTGAACTTTTATGTGAGTGGTGGATTGCAAGAGGCAGCTGTGAGAAGTGAGCATGTTCTAAGCATGGGGTGGGGGGAGGGAGGAGAGAACTGCCTGTATATAGGTATCCATGTGGAAGATGGAATGTAATGTGTAAGGAACATCAGGACTAGCCAAACTGACTTGGACTGTAGTGTGTGATGAGGAGTACTGTATATTAATAAGCAGGTAGATTGGAGTCAGATTGTATAAAGCCTTGAACGCCAAACAAAAGGGTGCCATAATTAGACCTACTCTTTAAGAAAATCACTCAGACAGCTGTGTAGAGTAAGGATGGGAGAGGAGAGAGAAAAAGGTAGGGTGACTAATGAGAAGTCAATTGCAAGAAGTTTAAGCAAGAGGTGATGAGAGTAAAGACTTTAACAAGTAACTGAGCTCTTTAGAGAATGGTTTCTTCAGTCAATCGTTCTTAGCTTTTCAAGGGCTAAGACAGAAGCAAACCTGTTTAATATGACAGACTATCCTCAGCTCCTTTTGGCTTTCTCCTAAGGGGTAAGGAGACAGGAGGAAGGTCTATACCTCCCTTAGCTCTATGTGATTGCATAAATACTTCCTGGGTGTCCTATCAGGGTGTGGTAAGAGGAAACCTATGCTACCTTTTTGTAGTGTCTATCTTCAGATTTCTGCAGGCCCTTATCGTCCTCATGTTCTTCTCCCATGTACAGAGAGTATGTAAATTGGGCCCAGACTAATCCTAGGTTACACTTGGGAATTTTCTGTGTGTAGTGAGGAGAGTTATGTATGTAATCTTTTAAAAGGCCAATTTCCTTTGGTTAGATGTAAAAGTGTAAATATGTTTTAAGAATATAATGCTTATTGTACTATGATCAGCTGTGAATGACTTAGCTATTCTCAGCAATACAGTGATCCAAGATAATTCTGAAAGACTTGTGATGAAAAATGCTATCTCCCTCCAAAGAAAGAACTGATGGAGTCTGAATGCAGATTGAAGCATATCTTTTTATTTCCTGTTTTTTTTTTCCTATAATTTTTCTGGTCTGTGTTTTCTTTCACAACATGACTAATATGGAAATATGTTTTGCATGCCTGCATATGTATAACCTATATCAAATTGTCTGTTTTCTCAAGGAGGGAAAAGGGAAAGGAGGGAGGGAGAGAGTTTGGAGATCAAAATTTAAAAAAAAAACAAATGTTAAAAACGATTTTTACATGTAATTGGAAAAAAAAATAAAAATTTAAATAAAAAAGAATATATTGGTAATACCTTTTTCATAAAGTTAATAGAATGAATCCTTTGTGAAGTAATAGAATTTACATCTGAAATTTGTATGTCCTTCTCAATCTGGCTTTCATATTCCTAAATACAGAATTGCTAGTTTTACTTCTTGAATATGACATCAACTTCAAATATGACAAGCATTAACAAAATATTAATTATTCAGCTCATATTCTCCCTTAATATTTAGGGAGGGGCATTATCATGAAAAGGAGAAGCAACTTCTTCTGGGAGTTTTCTTTCCCTAAACCTTATTTATAGTTTCTCTGGTATATATTATATAAAGAGTATGATGCATAATCATAGGAACTTAGGGATAGTAAAATAGTAAAAATTCTTAGCTCCAATATCCCAGTATAAAAATCATTTGGAAGAATTTATTTACTTTTACTGACTGATAATGCATAAAAACCCATAATATCCTTGATCAGAATCTGTTATTCATTGTTAGTTTGGTATTTCATATCTTGCAGTGATAAGTCTGCCTTTACCAAGTAATGCTTATACAAGAAAAATAAAGTTAATGTCTTTTGGGTATGTCAGGGAATTCTTAAGACAAATGGGCTTAGAGGAAGTATCCCTTTTCTCCTGAACTCACTCTCAGCAAATCAGGTCCTTGATTTGTAGAATCAGTTCAGATTCTCAGTTGGAAAGGACTTTAGAGGCCATATTGTTCTGCCTATACCTTATACTAGAATTCTCTCCCGTTACAGGATTCAATTATTTTAGTTCTTTCCATAGTTTCAGGAAAACTAAAACAAAAAATAATTGTGCTATAATTGAGGAACAGGTGTTAATCCAAATGATTTTTAAAAAAATTGAGCTCTATAACCCCAAAGCTGGACTTAATAAAACAAATAGGGCAGCATTTCAGTAATTTTTCATATTTATTAATGAAATAATTCAAAACAGGGACAAACATAACTTGGAGCACTGAAGTGAAATGCCAGCCTAATACTTCAAGAATCTAGATTCTCCACTGATTTTGCACTGATGTTGCAACCCCTTATGATTTATTTAATGATATTTAAGAGATATTATGACAAAAAATTATTAGCATGTGGCTAACTCGGTGATAATCCTTCCCACATTTGGCCAACATATATAAAGTCTGTCCCAAAGTTGGTACTCAAAGCTTTTCTAGCTTTGCACTTCATTGGCCAAGCTTTACAAAATCTAGCATCATTACATGTAAGCCATAAGAAGGCATCAGAATAAGTCTTCCATTGAAGAATATGCTCAATTAATATAGCTCAGGTTTAGGTATTTATAAAAGCCATGAAAAAGTCTATTTTATTGTAGAGTAAAAGAAAAAAAACTCATTCAATTCACCATCAAATAAACCACATGTACAGTACATAGAAAATGAAGTACCTGGAAGACTAAATCTGGTATCTCTCTGTCATAGAGAGGCATTTGCTGAAGAACAGAGACATCTAATTGGCCTGCATTTCTAAGTTGTAGTAGTTGGAAACGTTTATTTTTTTTAATTTCCTCTTCAGAAACAAAATTAAATTCTTCTTGCAGCTGTTCAAGACGAAAATATTTTGGAATAGCTTGCCCTTTATGTCTTGTATACTGTAAAACATAAGAAAGATTTCAAATCCACATTTCAATTATTTTAAATCATTACATATAGTGATATAGCATCAGAGTAGGCCTGCCTGCCTTAAGTCTCTACCCAGCTCCAATCCATCCTACATTCAGTCACTAAAGTGATTTTCCTAAGGTACAGGTCCAATCATGTCAACCTCCCATTCAATAAACTTCAGTGAGTTCCTATTGCCTTCAGGTTCTAATACAAAATGTTCTGGCTGACATTCAAAGCCCGTGGGAGGGTAACCTAGTACCCTCCCACCTTTCCAGTCTTCTTACACCTTACTCCATAGCACATACTTTTTGGTCTAGTGACACTGGCCTCCTGACTGTTCCACAAACAAGATACTCCATCTCTCAGCTCTGGGCATTCTCTCCAGCTGTTCCTCATCCCTGGAATACTATGCCCACTCCACTACAATTAATGACCTCTGTGGCCTCCTTTAAGTCCCAACTAAAATCCATTCTTTTACTGGAAGCTTTCCTCAACCTCTCTTAATTCCAGTGTTTTCCCAATATTAATTATTTCCCATTTATCCTGTATACAGGTCTCTGCATGTGTATACATATACACACATATATATGTAAAATCTGTTTGCATGTTGTTTCTCTCCTACCCCACCATTAAACTGCAAGTTCCTTGAGGACAGGAACTTTCCTTTTCCATTTTTTGTATCCCTAGTGCTTAGCACAGTGCCTGGCATATAGTAGGCCCTTAATAAATGTTACTGACTGATTGACTGATGTTGAGGGACAGAAAAATAGGTAGTGCGACATTTCATTACACGAAACCAAAAAGCTTCTGTGCAAACAAAATTAATGCATTTATGGTAAGATGGAAAGCAAATAGGAAAAAAAAATCTTTTTCTCTGAGATAAGAGTTTGGTACCCAGGACATATAAACAATTAACATATATATTTATATGTATGTATTTTGAATGTATGTAGGTGTGTATATGTTATGTGACTAAAAGTTATTTTCCAATAAATAAGTGATTAAATCAATGGTTATTAACAAATAGTTCTCAAAAGAAGATTGCTATTAACAGCCACATGAAAGAATGCTTCTAATCACTAATAATAATAGAAATGCAAATAAAAACAACTCAGTCGTTTTACCTCACATCCTGCAAATTGGCAAAGATGACAAAAGATGGAATAGTCAAGTGTTGGTGGGGTTATGAGACATTGTACATTGGCACATACAGTACATTGTTGGTAGAGCTGTGAATCAGTATAGTCATTTTCTAAGACGATTTGGAATTATGCTAATAAAGTGACTAAAATATTCATACCCAGAAATTCTATTGCTAGTTATGTCTATTTGATAAGAAGAAAGTTTCTATAGCAGTACTTTTTGTAATAGTAAAGAACTGAATTCCCATTGATTGGGGAATGGCTTAATAAATTGTGGTATGTAGACGTAACAGAATATTATTGTGTTGTAAGAAATGATATTATGTAATAAATACAGAGAAAGACTGAAAGATCTATGTGAACTGATGCAAAGTGAAGTAAGCAGTACCAATAAAACAACATACTCAATGATTACAACAATATAAATAGAAAGAAACACAAAAAATCAAAAGTGGATGTTGCAAAATTACAAAGAACAAGCAAGGCTCAGAAGAAGAGATATGATCCTTTGTAGATGTGGAAGTCCATGATGTGGTACATTACACCTACTTTCAGATTTTCTCAATGAATTAATCAGTTTTGTCTATTTTTCTCTTTTTTTTCTTTTCTTTGTCTTTAAAAATATTTTTTATATGGGATGGCTCTCTGGGGAATATTTTGGTGATGTAATAAAAGACATCACTTGATGTTGTCTTTTACTTATTTATATCATTTATTTAAAATAAAAACTTTTTAAAAAAAGAGATCATTAACTATGAACTGAACAATATGAATATGAATTAAAAGAAAAATCCAAAAAGGGTTTCTGAGAAGATAATGGAATAAACAGCTGCAGAGGTACCCATCTTTTTTTTTAGCTTTTAAGAACAGCAATATTAGTGTTTTTTAAAAAGGGAACAAAACTAATAGAAGTTTACAAAATAAAATTAAAATGTGACTAAAGCGAATGAATAAACCAAAGAACTCCAACACAATGAAAAGACAGACTGAAATACTTAAATGGATGTGTGATATCAACAATGTGAATACTTTGTCTAGTGGCACAGATTGTAATGTATTTATACTTTCTCATTAAGTATGATGTTGTCCATGTCCCATGATGATAATCTTATCAATGACAAAATAAATAGCTCTATAAATGCTACAACTCTCTTTCATTTTCAATCTATTATCTTAATTGCAGTTTAAGGACTACACCAATTTATTTCCTTTTGATGGGGAGAGAAGAATAGGACAAAAGTCATCAGCACCTTTTAGCCTTTTCCATCCATATTACAGCTCCAAGCTTATATCCTACCTAAAAGCTAGCTAAAATCAGTGTCACCAGTTCCCCACTTCAAATGAAGTACCCCTTCCTCCCATGTTGAAAAGATGTCCTTTCCACCCTTCTACATATATTTTGTACAATGGCTATCAAGTGACCCCATTGATTCAGTGTCTATTGTCACCCCGTGAGTGGGTTATATAGTCCCTCTAATAGTGTTCCTTAAATTCTTTGGGTCAGGGATTTTAATTTTGAATTTACTATACACTTTGTGGACTCTCTTGGTGTCTTAGTTTTATTTTGGTTTTTAACTTGTGCCATCCTTTTTGAAAAATGACATTTTTTAGTTTGTCTCACTTTGCTAGTTACCATGGAAGATTTTTTCATCTACTTGGTATCTTTGACCTTCAGCACAGACTTACAAAAAGTGCTTTTATTAAGGTATTTTTAAATAGCTACTGAGCTTCTTGGGGGGTTATTACAGGTTTTCATTATAGTTTTTTTTCCAGATCTTTTCAGATCTTTTTCCTTTTTAGATGATTTTGATTTTTTCAAACTATGGCTCATATTTTATGATCATTTCCTTTCCAGAACTGAGTTACTTGGTGTCAGATTTATTCAATTTTCAAGTGGCCCCAATTAGTCTTTTTAGGTGGCCTCTTCCACCTGAATTGTGTAAATGTTGTGTAAATAATTAAGTTTATATTCCAGATCTGAATTACTCTGATTACTATTCCCAAGTAGTTGGTTCACAATATCTCATATAATAAGTATTGCTAATAAAGATGTGTGAAGCCATATAATATTTTCAAAAATATAGGTAGAAATTAGTTTTAATAACAAAGGAGTGAGTGAATAGCACCATCTAATAAAATTAAGCTAAACAGATTATACTGGTAGGATAGTGATTCCTCCAACCATAGTTCAAGGGCAAGGTTTCTTAGATACTTTAATATATCTGTGATTTCATCAATATGAGTACTTCTTTCACCAGTAAAGGAATTTAGGATTGGCAGAAACCTTGAAGGTCATCTATTCCAACCCCTTCATTTTACAGGTGAAGACACTGAATCCTAAAGAAGTTAAATGCTTTGTTCAGGGCCATATTGTAAGAGTCAAGTATATGAGGTGGGATTTGAACCCATGTCTTCCTAACTCCAAGTCTATCACTCTATCTACTATGCCATTCATCCCTTTCTGGAAAACTGACCTGTCCCATCCTCCTCCCACCCCAACACTGGGGGAGAATGGTGGTGGGAACCAATGTGGTTGTAGAACACAAGACAACCTAGGAAAAGACTGCAGACATACATAATGCATCCCCCCGCCCCCGGCCCCCAATTTGTTTCTTTGTCTGTCAGTGCCCTGGGAAAAACATGGAGAGATGCAACCACATCAGGGAAACTTTTCAAAACACCAAGATAATGCAGCTGTGACTTTTCTGAGACTCGGAGGTTTTCCCTTAGCCTCAGTTCTCAAAACAACTCAATCACCACGGTTACTGCCTGTTTTAATCATCTACCAGAAGCTGGTAACTGTGTTTTCCTATTCCTTAAGAGCCAGAGCTAATGCCACCACACATACTGCTATAATGGTAGTGGAATTTCTTGCATTTTTCTTCATCTTGCCCTTGTATCTCTGTAGAGTTTTCTATCAGGTCAAATGTTAGGGGAACAGCTATTAGAAAAATTATATTTGTCTCACTGAAATAACTGACAGCTGTTGCTATATGCCTTGACCAACAGTTTTGCTCCAAGTACTGTGGGGAGGTTAATCTGTCTCTCCACAACATTTTCAATTGAAGTTCAGCCCTGAATCACCTGAAGCTCCAACAATCATCACTCTGTCACCAGAACCTCATGATCTCAAGACAGTGAAGTGTCACTTTCCTCATCTTTATGTGAATGAAAGCTATCTGGGCTTCTGCCACCATCGGTTATTCTGGTCCCAGATATCAGGAAGTTGGATGAGGGAGGTATTTTGGTGAAGGGGGCCCTTTCTCTGAAATCACACCATGTATGTCTGTTACACTTCATGTCTGTCCCCAGTCCAGGCCATTTTCCACTCAGGCACCAAAGTGATCTTCCTGAAGTGAGCACAGATCTGACCATGTCACTTCTTCTATTCAGTAAACTTCAGTGGCTCCCGATTGACTCCAGGATAAAATATAAACTCCTCTTTTTCTTTTAAAGCTTCTCATAACTTGGCTCTGAGCTATCTAGTTTTCTTACATTATTCTTTCCTCCACATGCTCCACGGTCTTCTGACTCTAGTATGCTTGCTAGTCCTCACATAAAACCTTCTGCATTTTCACTGGCTGTCCTCCAGGACTGGAATTCTCTTTTTCTTCACCTCTACCATTGGCTTCCCTGACTTCTTTAAAGTCCCAGCTGATAGATCACCTTTTCCAAGAAGACTTTCCCATTTATTTAATGTTCATGCCTTCTCTCTGAGATCACGACCCACTGATCTTGTCTACACACAGCTCTTTACACGTTCTTTCCCAAGATTGTGAGCTCCTTGAAGCCCAGGGCTGTTTTTGCCTTTCTTTGTATCACCAGCATAGAGTAGGAACTTCATAAATGCTTACTGATAACTTGACTTCTCAACATATTCATAAATGTACGACCATATCAGATATACTCTCCAGAACCCATTATACAGGTTTATCTATCTGACATTCCACAAATAATGCAGTCACTACTGGCAGCTGGTAACCATCCTCGCTGTTGCTGAAATGGTCCAGCTAATAATACCTCTTCGTGTTTGCTAAAAGCCCTCATCCTAGTTCTAGTCTCCAAGAATGAGGATAACCAGGTAGGCAAGGTGCATGTAGCCACAGGATCACATTTTTAGAATTGGTTCTTCACATCCATCCAAAGGCAACATCTTAGAATATCTTGTCACGTGCCCTGTCACTATACAAGTATACTCTTTCCTCTCCCCCTCTTAATCTAGGAATGATAATAAAATCCAATATTTATCACTGTTTCTGGAAAGGGCATGGGTATGACAACTGACTGTCCTTTGACTCCACTTATCATTCCTGTGGCTTCCCAAACAAAAACTCCTTTCCTTAGTTACTGCTCCTCTGCACGTCTTCTCTCTTTTGAGGGGAAGGACTGTCTTATTTTGTCTTTGTGATCCCAAGCCTACTACATGGTAGGAGCTTAATAAATGCTTGATTCATTTATTCAATCATGGATTTCATAAAGCTTATTGACTTTTAGGGTTGAGAAGGACCTTAGAGGTCATTTTAGTTTGATTGTCTCATTTTATCAATAAGGAAACTGAGACTCACTGAGGTAAAGTGACTTGATTAAAGTCAAATGATTATTACATAGCATAGCAAGAACTACAATCCAAGTTTCTGGTTTCCAGTCCAGTGTACTTTCCATTATATGGTATTTAACACTGGTGCATAGATACGCTCAATCTAAAAATCCAGGGATGTATAAGTGGGTACTTTTCCCAATAATCATATATTCTTTTGCACTGTTCCAGGACAGGCATTGGAACATTTCCATATATTTCTAATCTTGTATTTGTTAAGACTTACCATTATGAATTCCATCAAATCTGAGTAGTCTGGGTCATTTGGATCAATTCTGACTTCATCTGCCCATTGAAAGAGCTTCTGAGTATTAATGAGCCATGGAATTCCAGGGACACCTCTTGCATCCACATTCCTTAACATGCTACCATATGGGAGAAACATAATACACATCATGTTTGTTTCTTATAATTTTGCCACATATATATATATATATATATATATATATATATATATATATATATACAGCTAACAATATAATTAACTACAGTATTTTATTTTTATAACAATAGTTTACATTTATGTAGTACTTTAAAGTTTATAAAATCATACATACACATATATTATCACATTTGATCCTCAGAACAGGCATTATTATACCTGTTTTATAGATGAGGAAACTGAGTCTCAGAAAGGATAAATGTCTCACCCATGATCACTAAATTAATAATCATCATCAGAGACAGGATATTCTTTCCACTCTACCATACAGGCTCAAAACACATACTGACTACTCTACATGAGGTCTTGGACTAGGTACAAAGGAAAACTCACCTAGTTCACAGTTCTACAGCACATTTACAAACTGCTTTCCATCCAACAAACCAGTGATGTAGGGGCTATAGGAAAGACACCCATTTTACAGATTCAAAGAGGTTAAGAGACTTGTCCAGGGTCACTGAGTTAGTGACTATCAAAGTTAGGCTAGAAACCTAGGCCACCTGGTTCCAAGTTCAAGTATCTTCCACAATAGGATGCTACTTATTAATACTGAGACTTTCTCAAAATATTTACTTAAGCATAATTAAGATGCTCTATAATAGACTTGATAAATATGGCATCTGGATTTTTATCAGGGTCATTAATAAAAATATTAAGAGGAATAAGACCAAGGACAGAGCCCAGCAGCATGCTAGCTAGACGTCTCCCTCCCCCACGCCCCTTGGCATCAAATGAACAGGCAAGAACAAAAAGGGTCTAATTTAACAAGGGAACATCTCAATCTTATGGATATTGTGACCAAAGCACAGTAAAACCAGTTTTGTTTTCACAACAAAGGCATAATTCATGAATTGTTCACCACTTAATGAGAGGATATACTATCTCTCCAGGCATATTTGTAAGCTCTGATGATAGGAATTATATGTTAAACTATGTGAGCCTGGGTAACAGGAAGGATAGTAATGCCCTTGACAGTAACAGGGGTAGGTACTGCTTTCTTTGATGAGAAAATTGAGGTTAATGAGATTATATGAATTGCCCATGGATTCAAACCCAGTTCTTCTCACTCCAAATCCTGCAGTTTTCTCCACAGTTCAAATTGCCATGGGCATTCCTCTGACACAATGTAGCCTATCCCAAATGATAACTTCTAATACAATGAACGCATCTTTGTGCATACCCAAAACACTTCTTTTATGTGACAGTTTGCAGAAATAATTGCCCTAATATCTACATATAATTATATGAAAGGATCCATCATCTTCACTTGGGATACCCATTTCTTCTTCCTCCTAAATACAGGTTTCACTCAATACTGTTTGAAGTTCAGACTGGGGAAGAAGTAAGGAAGAATCCAGGTCTGAGGCAATAGTCAAAACAAAGCAAGGCAAGGAGAGAGGTGATAGCTGCCTCAGTATACTTCATGGCTACTAGTGGAGAATGAATTCATGCTTTGAGTTGTTCTAGAGAAGCTGGAAGAGATTCCTTACTGAAGATTAGAAAATCAACCATCTGTTTCTGCCTGACATGGAGTGCTGCCCTAATACAGACATAAGCTTTAAGTAATACAGCTTTGAGTAATTTAAGTAATAAGTAATACACTTTAAGTAATAAGTTGAAAAGTGATGTTACTTCTCTGACATAAAATCTTATAACCTGTGGCAGACAGAACTTAGTGACTGGGACATAGGTGTTAAAGGGATGCCATTTTTATCTAATGCCCATGATAAAGAATAGCTTAGTTTTCCAGATGTCAATAGGCAAAGTTCTTCTTTTCCAGTCACATCAAGAAGAAAAGGCACATCTGTATATCAAAAAAAGGAGAGCAAAGTGGGAGAAAAAAATTCTCAATTAAAAAAAGTTTATACAGTTTAAAATAAAAAACAAACAAATAAAAGGCAGTTTTCAACTTACATTAGGGAGTGAAAACTTTACACATCTAGAATTAAGGAACTTTACTAAGGACATGCTTCTCTTGGGCCAAGAGCTACCCTTTAGGTGCTATTGTGAAACACTCTGAGACAGAGGGTCTCAAATTGGGAGCACGAAGGACAGGGAAATACTTGGGTAGACAAGCTAGAAAAAACAGCTCTGTGATGTCACTGGCACCAGTTACTTCCTCTACCAACACATGATCACAGTGCCTCAAGAATTTAGTAGAGGGTCTTAAAAAGTTGTGGACACAGCAGTTTGAAAATACAAAAAGAAATGCAATTTGCAATGAACTCACTGCTTCCTACTTCTCCACATGCAGGTACAGCTAGCTTATCACAGCTAAACTCTGCCTGTTCCAAAACAGCTTTGCTTTTCAGTGCAGTGTTGCTGGGTATAGGCAGATATATTTTGGCCAATATGCTTGTCCTTTTACTTATTTCATAAACCTAAACATAAGACAAATGAAATCACACTGGAAACAAGTCATTTATACCTGGGATCTTAATACAGAGCTTGACAAAACTTTAGGACATCTAGACCAAAGGTTCTCAAACTTTTTGGTCTTGGGAACCTTTACACTCTTGAAAATTATTGAGGACCCCAAAGACCTTTTGTTTGTGTGGGTTATACTATTGATTAAATTAAAACATCTTAGTACTATTGTGATAATAGTTTTGACCTCATGGATCTCCTGAGAAAGGCCCCAAGCCCCACTTTGAGAACCACTAGTCAAGACCAAACCCTTTTTAAAGTAAGGAAACTGAGACCCCCAAAAGGTAAAGTGACTTGGCCAAGGTCACGCAGCTAGTTACTGACAGTGTTAAAACTAGCACTCTAGTGTCCTGGTTCCTAGTGAAGTGCTCTTTCTAGAATGCTACATGATCATACCAAAAATGAAAGAGTGAAAGCACTGTTTCAGGACATTCCAGACATATGTTCACAAAAGAAGTATATGATTACATTTATTTACCTGAAGCTTAAATAATTTCTGCAAGGTATATTAAAAAAAAAACCCACTGGACTTGAGCATCTGAAGACCCAGGTTTGGTTTTTGACTTGGCTGCTTAGCAGCTTTGTGATTTGGGGAAAATCACTGAACTTTTCTATGTCTCTTCTTCAAAATGGGATAATATTTGACATGTAAACCACATAGTGTTTTGGGTAGAATAAAATGAGCAAATACGTAAGGTGCTATATAAACGTACATTGTTGTTCCTGGCTTCAAAGAACAAAAAACTGAATTATGGAAGATACAGTCTGTTCAACGACAATTAATGTAGGGATACATTGATCTTACACTTCTATAAATGGAACTTTTCAGTATTAAAATACTGGGTCTTTTTTAACCTCTACGAGCCACATAAGTATATCTGCATCCATACACTGCTGCTGGCTTCCCTCCCCAATTACATAAAGAGAAATAATGCTTGCCATTCAAGCACTCATTCATTCAATTGACAAGGATTTACTAAGTCTCCTCAGGCTGTGTGCTAGATCCAAGAAATACACAGTCAACCCTCTCCTTTATCTCCAACTCTAATCCTTGCCCTCAAGGATCTTACATTCTATGGCAAGTCAATAGATGCTAAGTACATGTTGGTTGAAGAATGAATAATCATCCATCATGCCTACCTACAGACCACAAATTAAGTCACTAAAAAAGTAAGTTTAATTTAATAAATATTAATTGGGTGTCTACCATATACAAGGAAGAAGTTTGAAGTTTTAAAAAAGCAAATGGCAGATTTGTACGCCACTGCATACATCATGCCTCTTTACACAAAAGCAGTGGATTATCAACATCCTAGATTATCACTGATTAGAGGGATTTTCTGGGATGATGAGAGGAATGGTAGTTGGAAGAAGGAAAATAAATCCAGCATCTGATTCAGCAAAGCAACTTCAAAAGCAAAAGTAGAGAGATTCAAAGAAATATTTTTATTTCTGTTTATGACAAGATCCTGTATCTTTTATTCTTCTTTCTCTTTCTGCCCCTAATTTAAGGTCCGATCATCAGTCCTTCCCACTCAGCCTCCATTCTTTCCCATTTCTCTTTTATTTTCTTTTCTTGGCAAAAAAACTGAAGTTTACAGTCATGGTTGGGGCAGACTTTGACTACACTTATAACTGTTACTGTATTTGCATTTACCCATTAAACAATGGCCTTCCTCCTCCAATGTGGCTGAAAAATAATTGAATCACAGCATAAATGAAGTGGTGTTTATAAAAAGCATGAGAAACTGCTGCATACTGCATATCAAATTAGTTCTTTCATATACAATGGTAAACAATAATTAACATTTATATATTGTTTTACATATATTATCTCATTTCATAAAAGGCTATTTTAATAAATCTTTTCTACCACAGTTATACTCACTGATCAAAATAAAATTGCATCATAAAAGACAGAGAGTATATATAAAGATGTCAAGAATAGTAATAGGGAATCATTTTTAAAGTACATTTGTAAAAAGTAAAGTGCTGAAGAAACTGCAGTGGCATACCTCTAAGCGAATAGTTTCAGGCCAGTTTATTAGTTGAATATTGAAAATCTGCTGAAACATGACTTTAAAATCCAGTTGCAGGGGAGATGCTGAAGTGCAAGAAACCTGTTTATCATTGTAAAATATTTTAATAAAATATTTAAGCTTTTGAACTCTGGCTCTCCTCCTTTGTTCATGCCTAAAAATTTAAAAATAAATAAACATTTAAAAGCAAAAAAGTAAAACGAATGCAAAAAAGTTCCTTTCAATATTTACCCTGACAAAACAACATATGATTGTCCTATCATTATAGGGTACACATTATGTATTTTAAAAACCAAACATTTACTTGAATACAAGTTAGAACCTCTGCTATCTACTTCAGAACTTCAAGAATCCGTGATGCCTTCAGAGTAGGTACACCCTAGGCCTGACAATCACTGCCACCAATAACTTCTGGGAGTGAAAACAATCATCACTTCCAGGACAAAAGTCTTTCCATATCTAGCCAGGCTGGTTCACACACAGTCTGCCACCCAACACATACTTGAAGCCTTTCTACCCTGGTACGTAAAACTTCTTCATTTCAATCAAATTGAGAGGAGGCCAATCTAAACTAGTGAAAAAAAAGTAAATTGGGTTTTATTGCTTCCAAGAATATATATTCATTCATTCATTCATTCAAGTCATAGCTTCTAGAGGTTGTTCTAATATTTGCCTAACAAATGCCTAAAAGATCAATGTGGAGAGAAAGGAGTAGGATGGGCCATCAAGTTAGAATTCAAAAGGATATTCTTACCTATTTAAAAATATATACACACGCGTGCGCGCGTACACACACACACACACACACACAGTGAATTTATTTGGCAAGAACTGACAGTAACACTCTGACCAGATGTAGAGTACCATGACATTGTGCCTGGCACACTTGTAGTTAGTCATTTTTCAGTCCTGTCTGACTCTTTTTATTCCCTTTAGGGTTTTCTTGGCAAAGAAAATGAAGTGGTTTGCCATTTTTTTCTTCAGCTCATTTTACAGATGAGGAAATTGAGAGGCAAACAGGGCTAAGTGACTTGCTCAGGGTCATACAGCTAGTAAATGTCTGAGGTCAGATCTGAACTCAGGAAGATGAGTCTTCTTGACTCCAGACCCAGCACTCTATCCACTGTGCCACCTAGCTGCCTCTTATTGTTGGAGGGGAACTATTACTAATGATTGAATGTATAAAGTATTTTTTCTATTATAAATATACAATGAAGGTGGTTATAAAAAACTGGTAGTGGTCTTCTTGAGAATGAGAAGCTAGGGAAGTGAGCAGAGCTGTTCTCATTTATTGAGGGCATAACCAGTTTCTTATCTCAACTCTACCAATGACCTTAAAACTAAATTGGGACTGAAGATGGAAAGAGCCTGGTGGAAAAGCTGTTAGAGGAAAGATTTTGGACAGCGAAAGAGCAACTATCTTATTGTAAGTTCTGTTGAGTGCATAAAAGCCAGGGATACTGTAGGTCTCATAAGGATAAGCCAGACCTCATTGTTACTGTTTGGTGGTTGTTGTTCAGTCAGTGCAATTCTGTGATTCAATCTGGGAGGGAGAACTTGCCTCATGAAGTCCCCTTTTTCACTGTGCCTCACTATCAAAACAATGTCAATTATTGCAGGTGTCAGAGAGGACCCCATCCCATAGTAGGGCCTCTCTCCTACCACAACTCTGATTGTACAGACCACCACTATTCCACTCCCTCCCTGAGCTTACTTTTTCCCCAAATTTGCCTCAAAATCTCCTCCCTGGATCCATGCCCTCCCATTTCCCCAGGTGCCACTTGCCTCTGCAAGTTCCAAAACTGCCCTTCCTGAAGTAAGATGAATGAACTTTTCAAGTATCAAATTCCCCAGGCCACACACAGCACAATGTCCCTGTCTCCTTTCACAGACCATCTCTTTTCATCCATAGGAGCACCAACCTCCCACCACCAAAGAAAGGTCTCCTTCCTCTCCCCCTTTTTCGATCCTTCCCCCTTCCTCTTTATCACTCCCCTTTAGGCTCTTCTTTGGCTGAGATCACAGGATTCACCTTCCCTTCATTGCTACCACTCAATTTTACCTCATCCTTTTATCCCCCCTCCCCTTCTCCCCTCTTTCACATACTCTTCCATATTGTAAGGTAGTCCCACAAAAAAACAACACCCCAAAATGACGATTCACCTCTAAGCAGGGTGCTGCCAGGTTCTGTCTGTACCTGTACTGCCTCAGGCCCATCTCTTCACTGTTACACCAATGGACTCATGCCTTCACCCCTGTCTCCTTGTGTGCATTTAGAAAGAAGTCTCTTACTGGTCTCTCTGCTGTCACTCTGTTGTTGTTGCCATCCTTAGCTGCTGCATTTATTCAGTCCTCCTGCATTTCTGTTGTTTGGTGCTCAAGATGCAGATATTTCTTCAGTTCTGGTTTTCTTTCTAAAAATGTTTCCAATACTTCTTTATTACTGAACATACATCTTATTTTCATGTATAGTTAAGTTCAAATTTGTAAGGTGGGTCACCCTGAGCTGTATCTAGAGTTCTACTGCTCTTCAGAACACATTATTCCATTCCCTCCTACATTTTTAGTGGGCACAGAATAGTTCTGTTTTCAAATTTCCCCTCCTTTATATGTGAAGGGGTTTCTCTTGATTTCTTGCAGAACTTCTTGTTTTTGAATTGAATGGTAAATTTAACCATTATGTGACTTGGAGTTCAGAAGCCTTGCGCTTTTTTTTTTCTTCTGAAAGCAGCATATGAATTCTTTTAATTGGTATTCTATTTTCTATGTTCTGAAGTTCTGAGTAGTTCTCTTCTATTATTTCATTCAGTATGGTTTAAATTTTTTTTTTGTCCTGTCATGTTCTTCAGGGAGACATGATCCTTAGGTTGGCTTTATGCAGCCTGTCTTCAAGATAAGTATGTTTTGCTTGCAGAGTGAGTATATTTTCTTTTCACGTTATTGCTTATTTCTCTTCTAGATTCTCTTTCACTTCTGCATATGTGCATTCCAAATCTATTGTTCTCTGTTTGGTTTCTTTGGTGAGACTTATCATGGCAGATTCTAGTTTTTCTATTCTATTTTTGCCATGCAGGCCATCAATTATGCTCTCATAATTCTCACTTCTCTTTTGAAACACTCAAAAACAGTCTGTTATGGTTCCAGATTCTCCTCACATTCTGCAGGGTCCTCTGTCTCACCAAATGTTGGATCATTTTCCTCTGGCTTGCAATATTTATTCACAGAGGCCTGAACTCATTTACTAGATCTGGAGGCCATATTTCCTTGTGTTGTTAACATTTTCTCTGCTGACTTAACTGCTTATGTTCAAGGTCTTTGAGTTTTGTCTTCCTAAAATCTTTGGTAATTTTAGTCTTTACTGCGACCAACCTCCCAACCTTGATTTCCTTCTATTGTTCACTTTCTAACTCTCTCCCTCCTAATGGCAGTTTCCTCGAGGGGTAGATCTAGCACCTCAGCCTTCTCTCACCCTAGCCAAATCACAATTTACCAGCTGAGGTCTTTCTCCCAAGTGACTTTTGGGTAGACCCTAGCTAGATGCTGAGTTCTCTTCCTGAGGTTTAGTGGAGAGCTACACAGACATCACCACCCCACCCCACCACACACACACACACACACACACACACACACATACTGTCCTTTCTCAGTATCCTGTTCTATTTCCTTTGTTCCTTAGTTCCCTGGCAGTTCCAAGAGCTGCTGTACCAGTGCCACAGGATGTTTGCCCTGCACTAAAAATTCAGAACTTTGCCATGCTGGTGCTATGGGGTTGTTTCCTGTGGCACTGGCTATCACAACCCAAACAAACTTCTGCAGCCTGGAGATGTGGTCTCCATGGCACTGGAAAAGGTCAGACCAAAGAGTAGGGAAGATTCACTTATGTAGCATCTGACTCTCTGCTCTCAGTGTCTTCTGCTTTTCATTCAATTAGAAGTTTTACTTCTCTCTCAATTCTTCTCAGCTTGTTCTTGGAAGTTAGCAAGTTAACTGAGCTGCTATTATGTTTCTTTTTTTTTTTTTTTGCCAGACCAGGTACCACCATGATCACTTCTCCAAGTATTATCTTCCTTCTTCCAGTCTGAAGTTTCCACTACTTGGACAACACACCCTGTGCGACTTGGGATAGCACTGCATGAGAATTCAAAGTCTTGCTCTGCCTATAATCAGAACTATATTTGGGGACCAAGGGCCTCAAGGTAAATATAGTTTCTAATTGGGTAAGTTTGTGCTGCACTAGGAAATATTGGTTTTTCCCATTCTGACCCTTGTTCCACATAAAAATAGGGGGAATGGAAGGTTGGAGTTGGGTAGAAGAGAAACTACAGAATGTGATTTGCCTCAAGTTCTGAACAACCTTCAGGATGACCTACCTTAACCTTCTCTTATCCTACTTCTTGAATTCTAGAGATCATGGTGTGAATAAGAAAAAGGGTCCAGTTCTAGAGTCCCTTCATGCTTAGGTTTGACCCTTTCTCTGATGTTTGTTTGCCATTAACTCAACAGTAACGGAGAAGCGAATGGAGGAAAGGAAGAAGACCAGAAGTCAGAAAGGAATGGAGGGCAATTAAAGAAAGCATAATTACACTTCATAGCCACACTCAGATGGCTACAAACCATGAGGGTTCTGGGCAACTACTTCAGTTTGCTTTGTCCTCTGTAAATCTAAAGGATTAGTGTGTTAAGTAAATAAAACTTATGTGAATATACCGGTGAAGAATTAGGAAGGCAAAGTTATGACAGAGGGGAGAAGTCATTGACAAAACTTTTTCCAAGAGAAAACCTCTATGAGGGGTCCTTTCTAGAGGAGCTAGGGGGTTTTTAACCAGTAAAGATAGTTTAGTGTCATTTTTTCCTGTACTTTTATTCCCCAATAGTCTGAACATAGTAAAAAAAAAAAAACAAAAAATGTCAACAACAACATACTAAAAGTGTGGAATAGGATATGGAAAAATAACCTAAATATTTCTGAGAATAAAAGAAATATTATAAAATAAACAATCACACAAATTAGCTTACAGAGAACACTTGTACAAATTTGTTACTTCTGCAGTCAAAGAAAGATGCGGTATTAAAGTGGGTTGTTTTATCCTTTCAAATTCTGTTTCTTCAAACTGTGATGTTAAATATGAAAGGTCCTGAAAATCAGTAAACAAATTTTTCATAATTTATAATATATAACCATAGCTTTTCTTTTCTTTTTTTTTTTTGAGGCATTTGGGGTTAAGTGACTTGCCCAGGGTCACACAGCTAGTAAGTGTCAAGTGTTTGGTCTGAGACCGGATTTGAACTCAGGTACTCCTGACTTCAGGGCCGGTGCTCTATCCACTGCGCCACCTAGCTGCCCCAACCATAGCTTTTCTATTATGATGACTTTTCTACTTTAATTGCCTGGATTCAAGAATAAAGTATTTAAAATGGTATTTCTCATGATCTACAACATATATTTTAGATATCATTATTTTCCTCTACTAGCCAACAATAAACCACTATGGCTGGTGAAACTGAAAGTTTAATTTAACTTCTTTGAAGACATGAGTACCTCCTGCTTTTCCCCATTCTTACAGTCTTCTCCTTTGGACTTTGTCTCGGTTTCAGACACTTTTGTTAGTTCTTCTTGTTCATCGACTATATTCATTTTTAACCTAGTTGAGCATAAATAAAAATATTTAAAATATTCTAACTAGAGAAGTGTTTAAGTAACAAAACAAATCTTTTATAAAAATTAACTGCATATATCATGTAAATAATCACAGCTAACTAGCATCTATCTATTACTTCAAGGTTTGCAAAGTTTTTCACATACTACATTAGTGGAGATTCACAAAAACTGTGAGGAGGTACTTCAAGCATCCTTGTAGACAAAAAAGCTTAGATTCAGTGCAATTACATGACTGTTCTATAGTCCTAAGGCTAGTAAATGTCAAGAGTCAGGATTCATATTCAAGTATCTTGGGGCAGCCCTCTTTCTACTGTGCCACAATGAATATGACATACTTACTGGACAGAGTCTGTATAAGGTGGCTTTTGGGTGCATCTTTCTATTTAGACATTTTAACATCAATGTTAAAAGAAGCCAGTGTGGAGTAGTAAGAAGAGCTTATGAGCTGTGTGTGACTATGGGTAAATCACTTAATCTCCCTGATGCTCAGTTTCTTCATCCTTAAAATGGGGATAATAATATCTATAATACTAACATCACAGGTTTATTGTGAGGGTCAAATACGAATATGTATTTAATGTACATAAGTCATTTTGCTAACATTAAGTTGCTATATAAATCATAAGTTGTTATTATTGTTAATAACAGTTCTAATATAAAAGTGGGCAAATTTTGCTATTGAAGGTTACTAATCCACAGAAAAGAACAGTTTATAGATAAATATAAGCAATGTTCCCCCCTAAAATTTTTAAATTTTGAGCAGGTAGTTAACTGTATTACATGAGGAACAAAACTATAATGATGAAATAACACATGAAGTCTTTAGTACTGGCATATAATTAATGATGTACATAATAATTATTGCATGGAATTGCATGGAAACTAGGTATAATAAAACTCTGAGGAAAAAAGATTATTGGGAAACATATTTAATGGCATAGAGAAAGGCTTCCTTTGTGGTCTGGTAATTCACTAGGTGGACTAAATTGAACTTCTGAGGGAGTCCCTTCAATACTAGCACAGCTGCAGGTTATTAGAATATTTAGAAACCATAGCCAAACTACTAAATCGTAGGGAATCTTCAGAGACCCTAAGACGGTTTCTAAGAACAAAATCCTTTGGCTTACATTGTCCCCAGGAGTTTCACTTCAGGACTAAGCAGGTCCCACAGAGAACCCTCAAATTGGTGGCTGATTAGTTCCAAAATCCTTTAAGGCTAATTGGGATTTGTGGAAAAAAGCATATCTAGAATCTTCCCCCCATATTACTCTTGGGCTGGAGCTGTCCTAGTACTCGGATGGTTGCTTGGAGTGGTTAAGAGCCCAAAGAGCGCTTAACAACTCCATCTATACCACTTTAGGATTTAACAGATTAATAGGTAGCAGAAAGAAGGGTGCTTTAAGCCATCAGTCATCAGGTTGTTAAAGACAATGAACATAATGAACCTAATCCTTAATGTTAGTGCCTTCCCTCTCAGATCATCTCTGATTTATCCTGTATATCTTGCTTATACACAGTTGTTTGCATGGCGTTTCTTCCATAGGCTGTCAGCTCCTTGAGGGTAGAACTGCTTTTTGTCTTTGCTTGCATCCTCAGTGCTTAGCACAGTGACCGGCACATGCTTAATAAATGCTTGCTGACTCACTGTTGCGTTGACTGAACAATCTAGCACTAGTTCAATGCTATTGATGCCATAGACAGGTATTGAAGGAAATGCCATTCCCCTGAAGGAGAAGTCAGGTGGCTTCTACTTCTGCTGACTCCTTTTTCTAGAATTTTTCTCTTAAAGTTCTTAAATAAGGGAAAGATGGGAAAATGATGAGAGATCCAACTATCCCTCTATCACCATCACAACAAAGAATGTATCAGTACGCCAATGGTTTTTTTTCTCTGTTGCCTTTGTTGATACCATGAATGGATCTAACCTGAGTGGCTCCCTTCTGTGGCACTTCTGTGTAGTTACAGGAACTATGAAAGCAGATGTGATGGTCACTCACCTTTGAAACTGCAGCTTTATAGGTGTGCTTATAAATCCTTGCCGTTGGCGGAGAACCTTAATTTGTTTCCATGTCTTCAGCATACTATGCAGTAAAGACATATTCTTTTTCTGTTCCAAGTCATAGAGTTGCTTTGTATTACTATAATCATAATATTATAATAAGAATTAGTCATATTTACCAACCCTGCAGGAGACTTCTAGAAGGGAAGTAGGAATACTGATAGAAGAAGGGGGAGAGTACACACTTTAGCCTTCATGCTTTTTTTCAGAAGACCTTCCCTGCATGTATGTAATGACCAGCTAGGGCTTACTCATTTACAGAGAAAAAAATGGCCAAGTACAAACCAAGAAAAGCCAAAATCCTGTCCTAACTTTTTTTCTTGCTTCACACTTTGCTGCACTTTGCTACCCAATCATCTCCTTAAATCCAGGAGAGAGTTAGACTGTGTCAAACCTGAAAAACCCATGATTACCCTCAAGAGTACCATCCATCCAAGTCTTCCTATTAATCAAGGACCTGAGGTAAGGGAAGTGAATTAGACCTAGGGGACCTACAGTGATCCATTCTAGTAAAATTCTTAGAATGGCTAATTTATCCTGTAGGTGAAGGCCCCTAGGACCACTGCTAAATACTTGGAATAGCAGCAGAAATACCAAAGATACTCTGGCATCTGAGATGGGGATCAGTGGCCAAAAGAGGACTATGTCCATTTTGACTAAGGAGCAGGTACAATACCATCCATAACATTATTATATGCCCACCAAATTTCTATAAACTACCATTCTATAAACTCTCTGAGCTAATTCTTAGTTGGATCACTATTTGATCCAAATAAATAAACAGAACCTTTCTAGTGTCCTTATACTTAAATAGTGTCTTGATTTCTCACAGATCATCTAACCTCCCACCCCTGCCATACCTTATCCAGACCTTTTCCTTAGGCCTTTCCCTCTCCTTGAACAAGATTCTACTCTATAATGTTCCTGATAAGCACTCATCTAGTCTTTGCTTAAAGACCTCTGGCAAGGGGGAAACTACTACCTTCCAAGGCAGCCAATTCTATTCTGGGATAACTCTAGGAAGTTTTTCCAAATGGATGGGGATATTGGAAACTACTGTCCTCTCGTGGTCATAAATTCTTCAGTGTTCACCTATTTCAACTCCTGGGAAACCATAACACTTTGACAGAAAGCTAAGAGCAATAAAAAGGTTTTTTAAAGATACATTGGGGGGCAGCTAGGTGGTGCAGTGGATAAAGCACTGGCCCTGAAGTCAGGAGGTCCTGAGTTCAAATCCGGCCTCAGACAAAACACCTGACACTTACTAGCTGTGTGACCCTGGACAAGTCACTTAACCTCAATTGCCTAAAAAAAAGAAGAAGAAGATGATAGAAGATACATTGGGAGAAAAAGGAGGCTCAAAGATGGGATAGGACCTTTGCATGAAGCAAATGAAATATGATAACTGACAACAGAATAGGCAGAGATATTTTATTCTTAGTTTCTGTTTTTCATAAAAGGAAAAAAGACCATTACACTGGAAATGACAGGACAAAAATAACTAAGAGAGAGTTGATACCCAAGATAAATAAGGAGATGGTAAAAGAGCAGCAAACTGCCCTTGCAGAATTCAAGTCACCTGGCCCAGATGAGCTACACTCTCAGGTTCTCAGGTGGAGAGGCACTCTCAATTATATCTGAATAAAGGGCAAAATACAGCTGCTTAAAACAAAAAGGGAAATTAACAGAGACTGCCAGCTCTGGGCCAATAATCTTGACTTCAGTTGCTGGGAAAGTTCTAGAACGAATCATTAAGACATGATTGGTAAATGTCTAGAAAAGGAAGCAATGATTCCAAAGGGCCAGCACAGCTTCATCAAGAACGGGTTAGGCCAGACTAGCTCATTTCCCTTTTTGACAGAATTACTAAATTAGTATTTGGGGAAATGTTGTGGATATAGTTTACCTAGATTCTAGCAAAGCTTTTGGTAAAGTATCTCTTGGTATTTACTTGTGGAAAAGATGCAGTGATATGGATTAGATGATAATATAATCAGCTGGATTCTGAACTGGTAAGAGCCTGCACTCAAAGAATTAATGATTCAGTGTCCACGCAGAAGGAGGTCTCCTTTCCAGAGGCATCTTTCAGGCATCTGTGCTTGGCCCTAGGCTATTTAACATTTTTATCAATTATTTCAATCAATCTATTAATAAACACTTATTAAGTGCCTACCATGTTCCAGGCACTGTGCTAAGCCTGGGGATACAGAAAGAGACAAAAACAATCCCTAACTGCAAGGAGCTTACAATCTAATGGGAGAGACAACATGCAAATAGGTATGTACAAAGTAAGCTATACATAGGATAAATAAAAAATAATTAGCAGAAGGAAGGCACTAGAATTAAGAGGGGTAGGCGAAGGCTTTCTAGTAAAAGAAGGGATTTTAGTTGAGACTTAAAGGAAAGCAGGGAAGTTAGGCTGAGGAGAGGAAAGAGAGCATTCCATTCAGCCACCAAAGTGATTTTCCTGAAGCACAAGGCCGACTATATCACCACTGCCCCCTAATAGGGAGTCCAATGGCTCTCTGTTGCCTCCAGGATTAAATACAAAATGCTCTGTTTGACATTCAAAGCCCTTCATGATCTAGTCCCTTCCTACCTTTATGGTATTCTTACATCTTACTCCCTGATATGTGCTCTTCTCCAGTGACACTAGTCATTTGGCCATTCCAAGAACAAGACACTCCATCTCTCAGCTCTGAGCATTCTCTCTGGCTGTTCTCCCATGCCTCGAATGCCCTCACTCCTTATCTCTCCCTACTGGCTTCCCTGGCTTCCCCATCTTTTACAGAAAGCCTTTCCCATCCCTTCTTGATTCTAATGCTTTCCCTCTGCTCACACAGAACAATTACAGAATGGCTGGAACGATTCATACTACTGAGAACAGAACTGATGAATTTGTACTTTGCTTTGTTCTCATTCTTTATTCTTAGGAGAGAAATGAGCTAGTTTCCTGATCATAGTTTCTTAAGAATTTGTTTTGTTTTCTCTTTTGAGGTTTCTCTAAGATAAAGTGGGTAACTACTATATTGTTGATTTGTGCATGTGCCCTTGTTCAATGTGGGCAGAAGGAAAAGTAAAGTATTCAAAAGAGAAAAAAAAAATTCATAACTGTTGAAACCTTTCCAGGCACAATGGGAGTTCTGAGTATGCAGAAGACAGTCTTTATTGATTCATATTGTTATAGCTTTCCAAAAGCAGAGAAGTAAGTGGTGGATCCACACTAGTACCTGACAAAACAAACTTAGCAGTTTAGTAGGGGCTGGGCTGGCTTCTCATTGTCTTCTAGTATAGTGAGTTTCAAAGGAAAACATTTCACCAAGGGACAAAACCCAGAGTCATTAGGGAAATGGTCATAGTCAAAGGAAAGAGTAGTATTGAACCCAGGAGAATAAACGGTCCCTTGCACACCACCCTAGTACCTCCTACCCCATCCTTGCTCAGATATCTATTCCTGCTATAACTGAAAGACTTACATTAAGTATAAATCTGCCTCTCTATAACATCTACCCAATTTCTCCTAGTTTTGTCCCATGAGAACAAGTAGAAAAAGTTGAATCCTTCTTCTACATGACAGCTTTAAAATACTGGAAAATAGTTCTTCCTAAGACTTCTCTCCTTCAGGATAAATATTTCAAGTTTCTTCGCCTGATCCTCATGTTGCATGAACTAGAGACTTTTCATCATCAGAGCAAAACTCCAGATGTGTACAGACAACACTCCAAATGTGGTCTGAATAGGGTAGCATACAGTTGGACTCTCACCTTCCTGGTCCTAAAAATTATGCATCTCAATACAGCCTGAGTTCACACTAGATTTTTTTGGCTATCATGTCACATTATTGACTAATATTGATCTCGAAGTCTCCTAAAACCCTCCATTAAAGTGTTACCCATCGTGAGTAACACTACGGTGACACTGAGGGCAATGTAAAGTTTGAATAAGACATGCTCCTTGCCCTCATGGAGTTTATAGGCTGGATAAGGGAGGAGAAACTTCTTACAGGTCTGACTCCCAGACCCTCTGGAAAAAGAACATAAAATATAAATTCATGATTCACCAGCAGATGTTTTAGATCCATGAGACTCTAGAACCATATAGGACACTATCACCATTGCTAGGATCCAAAACTACTAGGACCCGATACAATTAGAGGATGTAGGATTCTAAGACCAAGAATCACCAGAGGGATTAAGAATAACTCAGTATCTCCCAGTGGACCCAAAACCAAGTCCAAGTTCTACATGTAGGTTATCTTCTGAGTATGCCTCATTTCCTGCTACATAAAGCATTAACTCTGCGTCCAGCCCAGCCCTAGGGACCAAATCATCAGATACTCACTGACAGACACTTCTAGATCTAAAAAGAGATGGCACTGAAAGTGATGTCACTACCATAGAGGCCTCAAATCAACTGATTCTTCCCCCATCTTACAGCTGGAAAACTATCATCTATTGAGGCAAAAACAAAACCAAAACGGTTTCCCCGGGCTCACTCTACCTCATCTCTACACCAGCTGCTTGTCCTTTGAGGGTGACTATATACTGAAGTCATTCCAGTGATGGGTGGCTTGGAAATGCCATATCATCAGAAGTCTCAGCCACACTGCTCCCTTCCCTCTTGGTTCACTCTGCGGGTTGCCCAACCTATACACAGGTTGCCTTATCCCTGATTGGGTACCTACCCCCACCATGCTTTCCAATTCCGTTTTATGTGTCATCTTCCCCCATTAGACCATAAGATCTTGAGAGTAGAGGCTATCTTATTTTCTTGTTTTTGTTAGCACAGTGTTTAGCACATAGTAAGTGTTTAATAAATGTTCTCTCTTTATCTGTTTAGCTATCTACCTCTCCCTACACTTTAATCCCTTACCAGCTCAACCTCACATGACCACATCCTCTCTTGCAGCCCTCCCCTTTCACAGTGTTCTCTAGAACCACTGTTTTATGATAAACAAGATCTTCTTCATGCTAAATCATTTTTTTTTCATATTCTTTCTATCTCCTGAATCTTACAAAAACCTGGCTCTCTCTAGAAGATACTGCATCCCTGGCTATCCTTTCTAGAATTAGTGGTTCCTGCTCTCATGTCCTCAGATATACTAAGCCAGGAGGAGAAGTCAGCAGGCTCCTTGCTCACCATTCCCATTTCCAGATGCTCCCTGTATTATCATTATTCTTCAACCTTTGCATCTATATCACTTTGTACAGATTTTTACCTTGGAAACTTCAAAGTACCTCTTAAATGTGTAGTTATTATTATTAAGGGTCAATTATTGAAAGCGTACCTTATTTGCCAGTTATAGTCTTGCAGAGATTTTTTGGTCAGCTGGTTTATTTTCAGATTATCACTTGCTACTTTTGTTAGTGCTTTAAGCTATAATAAAGAGAAAAACTGTTTTGAGTACATTTAGTATATAGATGTGTCTAGTAACTTCACTCCAAATCATATGTCAACATGGGCAGAAGAACTGGACACAAAGATGCAAATTTTACATGTATTTATGGGGGGGGGGTCACAATAATAGAATCACAGATCTAGAACTGGAAAGGTCCTTGGAGATCATCTAGCCCAACCTTCTCATTTTAGAGATGATATAACTGAAGCTCAGAGATTTTAATTGGCTTGCTCAAGATCATACAGAAGAGTAAGCATCTAAATTGGGATCTGAACTCGGGTCTCGTGGCTCCAAGATAAGCAGTTCAAGTGCAATGTTCTTCCAAGTTCAGTATGGTCTCTAAATTAGATTAAAGATGCCTTGAGATCAAGGATTTAAACTTTCTTGTATCTCCCTCAGCAGTCTACACAGGGCTTTGAGCATAGCAGGTACTCACTCACTTACTCACTCAATAAACATGTATTAAGCACCACCTATATGTCAAGCACTGTGCTGAACACTGGGGATACAAAAAGAGACAAAAGACAGCTCTTGCCCTTACAATCCAGTTGGGGAGACAACAAGCAAACAAACATGTACAAACCATATACAGAATAAATAGGAAATAATTAACAGAAGGGAAGATGCTAGAGTTAAGAAGGGTTAGGAAAGGCTTCCAGTAAAAGAAGGGATTTTAGTTTAGACTTAAAGGAAGCCAGAGAAGTAAGTAGGCTGAGCAGAGGGAGATCATTCCAGGAATGGGGGATAGTCAAAGAATATGCCCAAAGCTGAGAGGTGGAGTCTCTGGCTGATGGAATGGCCAGAAGGTCAGTGTCACTAGATCAAAGAGTATATGTCAAGAGGAAAGTGTAAGAAGCCTGGAAATGGAAATGTAGATGGGGGCCAGGTTATGAAGGGCTTTGAATACCAAACAGAAGATTTTGTATTTGATCCTGAGGTGATATGGGGCTGCTGGAGTTTACTGAGGGGCAGGGTAATGTGGTCAGACCTGAACATCAGAAAAATTATTTTAGTGGCTGAATAAGAAGATGGACTGATCTCTACTCATGAGTGCTATAAGGAAAACTTAGAAACTAGAGTGAAATGAAAGAATTTGTCCCTATGAGAAAGAAAAACCATCAATATTAAGGGGATTGGAGGAGGTCTAAAATGTCTTTTTAAACAAATTCAGATGGTCAAGGGCAGTAAGAATTAAGCAGTCACTGTACATTTGTCCCCCTCTTCGCTTCCCACTGTTCTCACAGTATCTTAGGATTTAGAGCTAGAATAGACCTTAGAGATCAACTAATCTAATTCTCTCATTTTCATAGATGAGGAAACTGAAAGACAAAGAGGTTAAGTGACTAGCCCAAAGTAACAAAGGTTGCAAGTCCCAGGGCCAGTATCTGAGCCTGGATACCCTGAAACCCAAACTAGCACTTTTTCTGCTACCCCAGTATTCTCCAATGGGGAAAACTTGTTCCAGAAGTGCTACTACCAGAAAATATCTCACTAAAGTCCTTTCTGATAGTTAAGATCAAAACCTTCTTCTATAGCTTTTTGGGTAACTGGGGTTGGAAGAATATTGGAAATACCATAAGAGAATAAACTAAGGGAAGTTAATAAATTAACTAGAATACAACATGTTTGGTGTTGTAAGGCAGCTCAGAGACTATCCAGTCCAACCTATCCCTAAGCTGAACTCCTCTGTATGAAATCCCAGTAAATCATCATCCAGCCTCTTGATATTTCGTTTGCCTGAAAGCTCTTTGGGTATTCTGCAGACTTGAAGGAAAAACACTTTTTGGCAAGTAGCAGGAGAAGTATATTTTGGGACTTGCCATAACTAAGTGGTAACTTCATTTTGTTGACTTAAGTGGTATTTAAAAGAATATTCCTAGAGATATTAAATACACAATAATAAGATATTAGAGGTCAATTTATTTTTTCAAAACTTGTTTTAGTAAATATAAAAACCTAGACACATAAAATTCACTCAGAAGCAGATTCTCAGGTATAAATATTTCTCTGCCCAAGAATCTTCAGGATCTCCCTAGTTCTTAACAAGTAAAATTCAAACTCCTCTGCTATGAGTACATGTAAGAAAAGCAGCAATTTAAATATTACACATATATGTATGCATATATAAAATATGTTGTATTTTAACATGTATGTATGTGTGTGCATGTATAGTTAATAAGTATGTTAGAGAAGTAAAATACGCTTCTGTATTTCTAGGATAAGTACTAGAAAAAACAGTGCTTTGTGTGGTGTAAGGAGTTTGTTACCATCATAGCATCACATAATTAGGCTTTAAAATATGAATAAGACATCAGCAGATAAAGAGAGGTGGGAAGACATTCTAGGAATAGAAAACAGCTTGAGCAACATAATAGAGATGAAAAAGCAGAAAATGTGTTGGCTGGAGCATGTAATACATGGAGGGGAGTAATATGAGACAGGGCCAGAAAGGTGAAGCATCTTGAATGCTAGGCAAAGGAGTCTGAACTTTATTTGACAGGTATTAGGGAGTCCCTGAAGATTTGGGAGCATTCTCACTTAAACAGCAAATGCTGTGTGTGTGACCTCTACTCAGCAGAAGAATACTGATGACTCTTGTGAGTTTAGCCCATAGTCTCAGTGCTATTTTAGCTCTTTTAAGAATCAGTCCCATAGGTGCCCCTAGCCAGAATTGCAAATCACCATAGGTCAAATCTTTGTCAACACCTCCCTCACCCACACCCACCCCTGCCTCCCCTCATCCCATATTTGAGTTAGGCAGAATAAATTTCTTTTGACTCCTGTCATGCTCCTGGCAATTAACACTAGGTTCCTGTAGATTACCCTGGAATTCACTACCAAGAGGAAGCAGGTATAAACATGTTATCCTTGTCCTGAATTCATCCAGTTGCACTTAAATACACATTATTTATGTACATGTAGGGAAAGCAGTAATGTATGTATGTGACAAGGTATGTACACAGATATACATAACCACATTGTCCTAGAAAATCAAAAGGATCCAGAATACACAGAAGTACTATCAGTTAACAATTTGCTTAGCCTTTGAAACAAATATTGACGATTCTATTTACCCAGATTCCTAGGGTCATAGAATTTTAGAACTTAGAGCTGGAGGGGATGAACTAGTCCAACTAACTCATTTTACAGATTCAAAAACTAAGACTCAAAGGAGAAGAGACTTGTCCAAAGTTACATACAGTGTGACACTGCCCCGCCATGCCCCTTCCCCCCATTAGATCTGGGACTTGACTATAGATTCAGCATTCTTTCCATTTTACCTTCCTCTTGGTTTTCTTTCTTATACCCCATAGCTTTAGACCTCATCTTTTGTCTCAGCTTGACTCATTTCTTCTTAGCACCATAATTTACATACTATAGCCCCATCATGTCCCTGTCTGCCTACTGGAACTGACTCCTGCATTTAACAGCCAGAAAATCAACATCCATTCAGGTAGCCACGGCATTACCAATCCAGATGAGATTTTTTTTTCCCCTTGGATGACCTTGAAGAAAAGCATCCCAAAGTGGCCCTTTGGCCCTAATTTAATGACCGAACTACTGGGCTCTCACCCCAAAGAAAAACCATTTCTCCTTTGTTCTAGCCTCCCTACTTTTATCATTATCTTTGTCCCCTTTATCTTTTATTAATATTTTGCAATTGGTCACTTTCTCATCTGTCAGTATTTGGTCTCTTCTTTAAAGCATTGTGCTTGGTTCCCTATACTACCTAATTCTTAACAATTAGTTTTAGTCCTTTAATTTTACATATTTTTAAGCACGCCCTCTTTCTGGCATACTAAAAGGTCTCCCATCTTTTCACCACCCTTATTAATAATTTTTAGTATCTTCCCATTCTAATATATACGCCTCTAACCCAAGGAATTGCAGAAGTGCTAAGGGCAATACTAAGTAGCTTTCTGAAGACAGTTAGGGTCCACTGTTATTCTGACATTTCCACAGCCACACTGGACCACCGCCTCCTCTGAATGCTGCTTGGAATTTTCTCCTGGTGTTGAACCAGTTTTCTTCATCTTCACATATTCCTGTGTCTTCTGTGGCTCCCTGACTTGTCAATCGGCATGGAACTAGCCAGTTAAAACTGACTTGATGGTGATGGTCAGCCATCCAATGATGCTGGTAGGAAGTACAGAAGGGAGTTGTCTCCTATAGTTCTTCTACATTTCTCCATAATTATCCCTGGGTATTTATTAGCCCACAATTTGTGCATACATGTCTTCCTCATCCCAATTTCCCTTCTTTTACAAATTAATTCCTATCCTAATTACCATTTCGTAATCAGAAAAAGCACCAATACCTTTATTTGATTATCTTTTCACTTTCTTGCAAATGAGATAACATGTAATGTGCTTTCAAAAGCCATAAAGTGCTACATAAATGTTAGCTATTATTTCTATCATATAATGGTTACTTTCTTAGTTTCTTGAATATTATGGGAAGGCTTGTGGCAGTGGAAGTAATTTGAAGTTTAGGACACAGAAACTTAAAGTTACTTATTTAGCCACAAAGATGAGGCAGTGGATAGAATGTTGGTCCTGGAGTTCAGAAAGATACAAGTTCAAGTCCAGCTGCAGACAGTTATTACTTGTATGACCCTGGGCAAGTCACTTAGCCTCTGCTTGCCTCAGTGGCAAAATGGGGATATAAGAACAGAAACTACCTCACAGGGTTGTCGTGAGGATCAAGTAAAAAAATAATTGTAAAATAAACACCACATAAATGTTATTATTATCATTAAAGTAAGAAAATTTCTCTTTAAGCTAGAGAAACCTGGAAAATTTTCCTCTGTTCCTATAGTATATGTGGCATTTCTTTCCTTGGGAGTATACTCCATCTTTTATTTTCTCCAATTACCTACATCTTCTGTGAGAACCTGATAGATTTAAAACTAGAAGTCATGATGCTAGAAGAGACTGTGTGATTAATGCCTGACATATTTCATTAGGTATCATAAGCA